ATATATATATATAATCTCAAAGCTTATTAAAAGCTATTAAACATATGTATTTGTCCTGCAAAGTCTATGATAATGACTTTGAGAAATGATAAAGAATGTAGCAGACTATACTATATAACACATGGCTGAGTTAGTGTTCACCAGCCCAGGATCAGATGCACCTGATATATCCTTATGGGGGTTAGACAGGTACAGATGGGGATTGATTGATTTAGGATGTTATGTTCTAGGCAAAGTCCTCTCTCTAATATTCCTCAGTGTATGGTTGGGTGTTCACACATGTTCAATGTATCCCATCAGTTATATTATATTTCACCCATTTACAGGGTTATTCACAGAAGGGTGAAGAGTTCGGAGAAGGCAGGAGAAGGGAACAATCTAGGACAGCATAGCTGATTTGGAATAATTCTCCAATTCAGCTCACTTTCCAGTTCAGCTATGTTGTCCTAGATTCCTGCCTTCTCCAAACCCTTCACCCTTTTGTGAATAATCCTGATAATGTGATTGCTGAATGAGAGACGATCAATCGGTTCTCCTTCCACACTAAACATCATGGATGGTGGAATCTCTGTTGCCTCAATACCTGAACCTCTCATAAAATCCTGATCATTTTATAACCAGCTCAGTCCATTTTTAAAACAACTTTTGTTGAGCCAACAGAGCACCCATGGCCCAATTCAGGAGGAATCTGTTGAAAATTGGGCTATATATGGCCAGTATAAATAGATTTTGGACATCAATACTTCCTATTAGGGATGTTCAGATACCAGTGCTGATACTTGCCATTTTCATGAGAACTACCAGGGTTGCAGCGGATGCAGCTGGGACCTGGCTCTGGCGCTCCACCACTATCCTGAAATCATCAGTCTGTATTGTTTTAGAAAAACTGTCACATGACAATAAACAAAAATGTATCAGTACTTGTATCTGTGAGTACTTGGGCAAGTATCAGTACTTGTAGTTGCAAAACTGGTATCGGTGCATCCCTTTATATATATTTATAAAAGCAAAATCGTACATTATAACAGGGATGCACAAATCCCAGGAGCTCCGTGTGCTCCTTAAAAATGACACGTGCCCAGTGGCGTCACAAGGGGAGTGCGGCCCGCACCCGGGTGACACCATTGGAGGGGTGACACCAAAATGGCTTACAGTCATTTTGGTGTCACCCCCCTCTGAAAAGTCGGGCGCTCGGTCATGGGCCAAACACCCGACAGTATCAGGACAGAGGAGGGGACCCGGCGGCATACCTTCTCCCGCCGGGTGGCTGTCTCCTCCTCTCTCTGCCAGCGTCCATCACCAAGATGGCCGCCGGCAGGTCACATGCACGGTGACGTCTCGGCAGGGTGACACTCGGACCCCGCTCTGGGTGTCACCCAGCCTCGGGACGCCCCTGCACGTGCCTCCTAACTTTTGAATTTTTCTCTAGTCCAGTCTTGGAGCTGGAAAAGTATCGGTACTTGTACTTTTGCCGAGTACGTACTTGGTATCTGAACATCGCTACTTCCTATGATAATAAAGGGTCCTCTCATTATAAAAACACTTTATCTCCTCCTATAATGGCTTCTAGTGACTTTTAGACATGTGCACTGCCAAAAAATTCGTTTCGTTTCGTTTTAAATTTGGATTTGTGTTATTTCGTTTTTCAGGATTCGTGTGTGAAAGTCAATTCGGATTCGGAATTCGGATTCGGACGAAATTCGGTAGCGTTAGTACGAACGTGCGTTTCGTTTTCAGTTCTTATTCGTTTCTTATTCGTTTCGTTCGTTTGCAGCAAAAGTGACATTTGAGGGGGAAAAAATATTTTTCTCCTTCTCTGTCACTTTGCTCCAACGAACGAAACGAATAAGAAACGAATAAGAACAGAAAACGAAACGAACGTTCGTACTAACGCTACCGAATTTCGGAAATGGAAATTCGGATTCGTTTGCATTCGTTATGTCTGTAATTCGGAATTCGGATACATCCGAATGTCCGAATTTCCGAAAATTCGTCCGAATTTCGATTCGGAACGAAACGAATCGCACATGTCTAGTGACTTTCCCATCTTCCTTTATGTTCCACAGTCTCCTGCATTACCAAACATGCTTCCATCAGTGTTCCATGTGACACAAGTGACTTATCCGGAGAGTTGTGATGTCACTGATTGCAGAGAAATGATGTAGAATTGTAGATGATAGGTCTTAGTTTTGGGGAGATGTGATGTCACCCTTAAAATATAACATATCTGCAGCACAACAGTATCAAAATATCAAATTGTAAGTGTACAAGTAACAGAAGGTGAGTTACATGTGAAGGTCGGTGTTCTCTGTAGAAATATGGAACTCATCATTACAAAGCAGAGACGTCCTGACCTAAAAGTAGAACAACCCGGGTCTTATGACAGACTCAGATTAGGGTTTGTTACCAAATTCTTTGCTGACAAAGTATGTGGACACTTATTAAAATGAAATATTCTGATATATAAAGAGAAAAGTTTCCCCTCTAAGTAACAATGTATGGGAATGCGTGACTCTATAAAACGCTGACCTAAGGACGGTATTTGATATAACTGTAGAAATCACTATATTTTGTAGTAGAATGAATGTTATTCCCATTATGTATATGTGTATGGCGATCAGATTACGAGGACTAACTTTGTTGCTATTGTATTACTATGTAGATCATACCTTCATTGATATATATACAGGAAAGGGGATTTATCAAAACTGGAGCAGACAAAATCTGGAGCAGCTGTGCATGGCAACCAATCAGCCTCTCCGTTTCATTTTTAAATCTTAACTGAATAAACTGAAGAGAGAAGCTGATTGGTTGCCATGCACAGGTGCTCCAGATTTTTGTCTGTTCCCGTTTTGATAAATCCCCCCCAGTGTGTGTGTATGTATGTATGTATGTATATATATATATGTATATATATATGTGTGTGTGTATATATATATATATATATGTGTGTGTATGTATTTATTATTGCTAATTTGTAATGATAGGTTCTGGACACCTTATGATACCATTTACGGCTGAAAGATGTAAATGTATGAAAACAGTAAACATTTTGAGGTATATCATATATAGGGCAAGTCTGCCCAACCCAGCAGGAACAGAGTGATGAATGGATTAGGATAATGCCCTAATTGGAAGATTTACTTAATTGAAAAAAAGAACAAACACTTTGGGAATTACATTAATTATATTGTTACAACAAAATTACCTATTAGTAACCAGATTTCATGTTGGTACAGTCTCCACAGTTTAGAGATCTCTGCTGATTGGTTGCTCAGGGCTATCGCTTTTTGAACATCTTGTTGCATTTTCCACCTGTGTTAAAAAAAACTTGACTATCTGTGAAATGAATGTGAGCTTTTTAATTTTAGCCTTTATAAAAAGTGCAGCCAAACATTTTCTGATGCACTCGGATCCATATTTCGATTAAGAAGAGTGACCTTAAAATGGCCCCGTCTAGAATGTACATCTCCTGGTCTCCTGCAGGGTTCATTGGTTCCTCCCGTAGGCCTCCAAGTCACTACAGGACACAGCAATGCCATGGAGGTTGGCAGGAGAATGTAGTGAGTCCTGCTGGAGACCGGGAGATGAACACTCTGGGAGGACTTCAGTAGACAGTTCTTCCTGGACGGAGGGGCGTTCTGCATCACAGGCACCAAGAAGGTATTCACTATCTTCTTATGCAATGTATTCTTTATGGTATTTTACGTTTTCTGATCAGGTCACTTTAATGAAGTCTGAAGCCTCATTTAATAAACATTCTTAAACTGTCTGTGGGCCTAAGGGAAGAAGAAGAAGAACATGGCCCCAGCACACCCATTTTCCATTTTTAATATAATGGTTTAGGAACATGAAGGTGGATAGAGGCATCAGATTCTAACTGGCTGACATCTGGGAATCTGACATGTTTCTATGACAGTTGGGCTTTCCTTGGAACACCTGTGACCACAACCTCAGTGAGACCCAAATCTTATGGTTGTCCCCAGAACAGGAACAGAGGGGACTTGTTCCAGGTACAACTGTATGTAATAGGGGTATATTTTCTTCTCACTTTGTGTTGTGTCTCCAGGGCAGCAAATCAATGGAAAGAAGAAAACCTTTTGGTCTTAGCGTTGGGCAGAGTGGGGAAGTATTAGAACCCTTGTTGGGTTTTACAGCTTGTTAAAAAGAGTTTCCCTCACTTCTATCTCCTCTCCGAACAATGTTTATTGAGACAAGGTTTAAATAGAAATAATAAAGCCATCATAAGTGAAGGCAGGTTTCCACAAACACACTTATAGGATACGAATGTACATATATATCTGACAGTGCGGGGTTGGAAGAAAGCTACTGTACATCAACAGATTATTACTACACATCCGACCACCTTCTCATCTCTTTTTACAGTAACGTTGAGTTGGCTTGTGACATTAAGTAAGATGCAAACCGAGGTATATTGAGTGGGTACACATAGTGCTTCTAAAACTTTGCTGGATGTTGTCAAGTAGATTCAGCCACTGGATTCTTCTAAATTCGGGCTGGCTCATCTGTTCTCAAAGGACTTTCATTTATTATGTACATTTAAAAAACTAAATTTTAGCAGCAGGAGTTAAGGTCCTTACAGACTTTAAGGACTGTGTACCCAGTCAAAGCTGTTTACAGTCTGGTCAGGGAACATTTGTGTGTTGTGGGCCCCCCATTTTTGGCTGACGTTCCCTGGATCATTTTGCTTAGGGGAAAGTCAAGTAACCAGAATAGATTTTCCTGGTCCATTAAAATGGTCCCTGCAGAGACATACCAGAACCTGCAGTGCACCCTCCTTCGTAGGCACAAACATACAGTTCCTTATGTGAATTGCATGCTTGCAGGATAATTTGTGTT